TAAAGGAAAAAAAAATACAAACTTCTAAAAGTACTTTAAGTATGAAATTATTCCATCCTGTTCAATAATTGATGAGTGTTTTTAATTAAGAGTAATTTTCATTTGAATGTGCTTTACTGGAGGCAATAATGTTTGTCAAAGAACACTACTGCCACCTACTGGTTTGTGACGTCACGGTGCTGTATTGGGTGTTAATCAAGTCCCAGTGCTGTATCTGGTGTTTGTCACAACGGGCTATTATCAAATAACAAACGTATTAGTTTTAGGTATAAATAATGATCCATGGATCATTCCTTGCTGACTGGACTTTTGCTTTAAAGCTTGTAGAGAGAAACACAAAAAGGCTTGAATCTGTAATGAACGGCTCTTCATAAAACAATCTGAATTAAATGATTTTAGGGTCTTTATACTGACAACATGTTATTTAGGTCCAGATATATTTACTGTGCTGATCATAATACTAAGCTTATTTGTAGACTTTCAGTCTAAAAAAATTCAGAATTAATATTTAAGTGAACAAAAGTTTAAGTCCAGCAAGAGATAAACACAAAGACTTTGCAAGGAAATTTACAGGAATCATTTCTACAAACTCAACCAATTAATCTTTAAATCTCTGCATGGATTTAAACCTTGATGCTGCATCTGTTTTATTATGTGGGAACTTTAGCGCCTCCCTTAGAGAGGGGTTTTTAAGTGTTTGTTTGAAGCTGAGATCAAAAACACAGCTTTGTTTCACACAACAGAAACAAACCGCTGCTTTTAAACAACACTTTCTCTTCATGAAATTCTATTTTTCTGGGTGTTATGCTTGTCAGACTCCATCACGTTTACAAAGTCATCAACAGGAAGCCTTTTTGAAGTGAGCTAAGTGTCAGACTGCTGCATCCTGCTGAGGAGAAGTCAGATGGAGAAAAAAACAACCTTTTTTTCCTTCAATGTAGAGTTTAAAAAAGATCTGGCATCAAAGAAAAATAAATGTGTCTGCAATAAAAGATGTCCTGTTGAGAGAATACCATCACCTCTACAGACACTGGCATCTGAGCACCGCCTCTCCTCCACCAACGGTCCAGGACATTGGCTCCCCTCCTCGCCTCTGACAGGAAGACCAGAATCTACGTCCAAACAGGCCCGGAAACGTCTCTGGATGGAGACCATTTCACTGCTGTTGCTCTGCCCTTCCAGGGAGTTTTGGGGAACGCACGGAGAGCAGGCGGTCCACTCTGACCACTCGCTGAGGATTACTGAAACGGGAGGAATCGGGTCAGGGTCGGAGGGCAGAGGAATCGGAAAGATCAACTGTTTCCTCTATACTCTTACCGTCACACTCTCTGGTGTCACAGTGTAAAGTCCCATCATGACAAAGGCTGGGAGACAGAAAATGATAAAAAGAGACGTCAGAAAACCTGCAGGCTAAAAGAGTCACTGATCTAGTAG